ACCTAAAATACCTCAAATGAATCGGAATAAAAACCTTAAATATTCTGTGTTATTCCAGGGCCTTCTTGGATATCACATTCCAGGTAAGCCAAAAATTCCTGTTTATCCTCATGCCTCCTAATCCATGAATTTTTTTCTGATTTTTTTCCCCCTTTCCTTTTTCTCTCTTTGTTTCTCCTCTTGTTTTCCTTTTTCCTTCCCTTTCCCACCCTGTTTCCCCTTTTATTCCCTTTTTCTTCCCCATGTTTTTTCCTTAACCCCTTTTCCCCCCTTTTTTCCTCCTTTTCCTCCCTTTTTTCCTCCTTTTCCCCTTCTTTTTTCCTCTCCGTATTCATCCCCCCTTTTCCCCATTTTTTTCCTTTTTTCCCTTTTTTCCTCCTTTTCCCCTTTTTTTTTTCCTCTCTGTATTCATCCCCCTTTTCCCCATTTTTTTCCTTTTTTCCCCTTTTTTCCTCTCTGTATTCATCCCCCCTTTTCCCCATTTTTTTTCCTCTTTTTTCCTTCTTTTCCCCTTCTTTTTTCCTCTCCGTATTCATCCCCCCTTTTCCCCATTTTTTTTCCTCCTTTTTTCCTCCTTTTCCCCTTCTTTTTCCCCTTTTTTCCTCTCCGCATTCATCCCCCCTTTTCCCCATTTTTTTCCTTTTTTCCTCTCTGTATTCATCCCCCCTTTTCCCCATTTTTTTCCTCTTTTTTCCTTCTTTTCTCCTTCTTTTTTCCTCTCCGTATTCATCCCCCCTTTTCCCCATTTTTTTCCTTTTTTCCCCTTTTTTTCCTCCTTTTCCCCATCTTTTTTCCTCTCCGCATTCATCCCCCCTTTTCCCCATTTTTTTCCTCTTTTTCCCCTTTTTTTCCCCTTCTTTTCCCCTTCTTTTTTCCTCTCCGCATCCACCCCCTTTTCCCCATTTTTTTCCTTTCCCCTTCCCACCCTTCCCTCCCCTCATTTTCCCCATCTTCCCCCTTTTCTCCCCTCCCCTTTCCCCCCAAAATTCCCAAAATTCCCCGTCTCCGTCTCCTCCAGGCGCGCCGCGGCCGAGCCGCGCTGCCGGTCGCCGTCCCCGCCTCGCCCCGCCGAGGCGCCGAGCCCGCCCCGCGCCGCCCCGGGACCCCCGGGCCCGCAGCCCCCCGAGCCCCCCGAGCCCCCGCAGCCCCCCGAGCCCCCGCAGCCCCCCGAGCCCGGCAGGAAGGAGCCGCTGTCCGTCAGGAAGCTGCGCGTGGTGCTCTTCGCCCTGTGCTCCAGCACGGAGCAGGCGGCCCGGCATTTCCGCAACCCTCCGCGCCGCATCCGCCGCTGGCTGCGGCGCTTCCAGGCCGGCCGCGAGGAGCGCGCCGAGCTGCCCGAGGGCAAGTACCTGAGCCTGGAGGCCGAGGAGAAGCTGGCCGAGTGGGTCCTGACCCAGCGCGAGCAGCAGCTGCCGGTCAACGAGGAGACGCTCTTCCAGAAGGCCACGAAGATCGGGAGGTCTCTGGAAGGAGGCTTCCAGATCTCCTACGAGTGGGCCGTGCGGTTCATGCTGCGCCACCACCTCAGCAGCCACACGCGCCGCGGCGTCGCCCACCCGCTGCCCAAGGAGATGCAGGGCAACGCCGGGGCCTTCATCGAGTTCGTGCAGCGCCAGATCCACGCGCAGGAGCTGCCGCCGGCCATGATCGCCGCCGTGGACGAGATCTCGCTCTTCCTGGACGCGGAGGTGCTGGGCGGCGGCGAGCGCAGGGAGAGCGCGCTGCAGACCGTGGGCAACGGGGAGCCCTGGTGCGAGCTGGTGCTGACCGTGCTGGCCGACGGCGGCGTCCTGCCCGCCCTGCTCATCTCCAGAGGCCGCCTGCCCCGCCCGCCCGCCGTTCCCGAATCCATCCTGCTGGAATCCAAGGAGAGCGGCTGCGGCGACGACGAGATCATGGAGCTGTGGGCGGCGCGGGTGTGGAGGAAGCACGCGGAGTGCCGGGGCGGCGCTCCCAGAGGAATGCTGGTGCTGGATTGCCACCGGACGCACCTGTCCGAGGAGGTGCTGGCCGTGCTCAGCGCGGCCGGAGCGCTGCCGGCCGTCATCCCGGCCGGCTGCAGCTCCCGCGCCCAGCCCCTGGACGTGTGCGTCAAGAGATCCCTGAAAAACTTCCTCCACAAAAAGTGGAAAGAACGGTCGAGAGATCTGGCCGATTCCGACTCCTCCGCGCTGCTCCAGCTGCTGCTGGGCTGGCTGGGAGAAGCTTTGGAAATCCTCGGGAATTGCCCGGAATTGATCCGGAAATCTTTCCTGGTGGCCAGCGTCCTGCCGGGGCCGGCCGGAGACTCGGGATCGCCGCGGCGCAACGGCGACGAGCAGGAGGAGCTGATCGCCGCCATGGAGGAGAGGCTGAAAATCGCCAAAACCCGGGAATCGTCCCCGGAATTCCCGGAAAACGACGACCCCGAGGCCGACCCCGACATCCTGCACCGGCTCTTCGAGGGGGAGAGCGAGGCCGAGTCCTTCTACGGCTTCGAGGAGGCGGATCTGGAGCTGATGGAAATCTGAGAATTCCCAGGAAAAAAGAAAAAAAAA